TTTTAATTTGAGGTAGTCCTACTTGTTTATCTTTGCTTCTGTTGTTTGTATTTTTGGTGTCACATCCATGAAATCATTGATTAGACCAATTTCAAGGAGCTATTTTTGTAGGTTTTCTGTGATTTTGATGGTTTCATGTCTTACATTTAAGTCTTGAAATCTTTTTGAGTTAACTTTGTGAGTATAAAGATAGGGGTCCAGTTTCATTATTTTGCATGTAAATATTCTGTTTTCCCAGCACCATTTATTGAAGAGACCATCTTTTCCTCTTTGAGTATTTTGACTCCCTTTGAGTGGGTTTAAATCTAGCAATTTACTAGTGCTTCCTTTTATTTGATTTGTTCTTTCTTTCCTATTTTTTTCTTTCCATTGTGTACTTCCTTTTGGACTGAGTATTTTTTATGATTCTGTGTGGGATTTTTTTTTTCTCCTCTAGTGGCATATTACCCATGCCTGTCTGTTTGTTTGCCTTGAGTTATTTCTCTAAGGCATTGTTTTCCAAACTGCATTCCTTGGATCCATTATCACCTGGGAATTGTTAGAAAAGAAAATTCTTGAGCCCTATTCAAGATCTGCTGAATCTACAGCTCTAATGATGGGGTCAGCCATCTGTGGTCTGTGAAGTTTCTCAGGTGATTCTGATAAAGCTGAAGTTGGAGAAACATTGTTTTCGGTTTACAGTGTACATCATTAACTCATCACAGTATACTTCAGATAATGTTACAACACTGCATATACTCCCAGCATCCCTGCATCATTTTGGCTTTTGTTCTTATTCTAAATTTGCTTTAAACTTCAAAATGTGTTGCTATTGCTTTTGTTTTAAACATCAATCGTATTTTAAAGAGACAAAAATTGGACAAAATACACATTCTATTTATTCACCATTCACCTTTTTGATCCTCTTAATTTGGGGAGAGCGTGTAGTAGATTCAAATTTCCCTCTGATTTTATTCTCCATTCTGAAGAGTTCCCTTCAATATATTTTATAGTGCTGGTTGGCTGGCAATGAATTATCTCACCTTTTGTTCGAAAGTTTGTATTCCATCTTCACTTTTGAAAGTTATTTTTGTTTGTTATCAAATCTGCTTGGTATAGACTCGTCTGGCAGTAGCAGTGTGGTGGCTGGGTGGCTGACGCCACAGTGGCAGCAGTGGAGGTCATCTCAGCATAACAGTTTGAGGAGCTGCTGTACCTCAGACCCATGTCCCCCTGTGGCCCATTTTTGGGCACCATGGGCTCCACAGTGTGATCAGATGAATAGTATGATGGCAGCTTAGCCTAAGAACACCTACAAGTATCATTTCTGAAGTTGGGAGCTCTACCCGAATTATCTAAAAATATATAAAATTATTTCTGTTTTTTAAGAATTCTGAAAAAAATTACGGATTAGATGGTGCACATGCACCACAATTGGCCAAAAATGTTCGACAACATGCACCCGTGGGCAACCTCCCACCCAGTGGTCATGAGCATCCAAAGAAGACCTCAACCTTCGCCTAAAGAAATGAACTCTTGCTGCTGCCTGAATGATGCTTATGAAAGGGACTCTGCAGGAACCTCACTGTGTGGTTTCAGCAAGCAGATGGTGGAAATTGTCACCAAACATAATATTCAGTTTAGGAGTGATTGTATCTTCTCAGATGAGGAAGTTCGTTAGGGCCTCCAAACCTACGTCAATTGGCCCCCCTCTCCCCATGATTAGATGGTGCACATGCACCACACAATTGGCCAAAAATGTTCGACAACGTGCACCCGTGATGAGGAAGTTCGTCCAAACCTACGTCAATTGGCCCCCCTCTCCCCAGCTCTATGTTTCTGGTGAGTTCATAGGAGGACTTGACATAGTTAAGAAGCTGGAAGCATCTGAAGAACTAGATACAATTTGCTCAAAGCTCCCAAAGTAGAGGCAAGGCTCACAGTCCTGACAAATAAAGCTTCTGTGACGCTCCATGCAAGGAGACACACAGGAAGCTAAATGTGGATTCAGCAAACGAATTCAATAGGACTGATACTGAAAACGGGTCATTTGATATATTGGAGGATGAGGGAGTTCCACAAGGATTGAAAACAGACTCCCATTGCCCAGCCTACTCTCAGCCGTATGTGAAGGGGGTGCTTGGAGGGCTGAACATGGTTAAAGACCTGAAAGAAAATGGTGAATTGATGCTGCCACGGAAAGGACAAAATAAATGTAAAATGTGGTGCCCAACTAGTGCAGGGAATAGTTACAGTGGAACAGTTTATGAGTCAATCCTCAGACGTGGATGAGGAGGAGAAAGCCTTCTTCCCCAGCTTGGCTCTGTGTACCCTAGACGGTTGTGCTAAATAAATGTATGTTATGTTTTGTTCCACCAAAAATAGAATGCATTAAACATCTTTAAATTCAAATTTTTTAAAAAAGAATTTGATCGTTATCCAATAGGTGACATTTTCTTGACCACAGTTACATATAGTTTAGACTAGTTGATACTATCCCAAAGGTCACTGAAGCTTTGTTTTTTTCTTTGTTGTCATCATTTTTTTAATATTTCTTTCTCTGTATGTTTCCATGTTGATAGATTCTAGTGCTGTCTTCATGCTTACATATGTTTGCTTCTTCAGTGCCTAGTCTTCTGTTAATCCATAGTATACGTATCATTTTAAATATTGCTTTTAATCATTGCAGTTTCCATGTAGGTCTTTAAAAAACCTTCTATTTCTCTTCTCATCATGTTGATTTTTGTCTTTAAACATATGAAGCATGATTCGCATCATTGTTTCGATGACCATGTCTGATAATTCCATCATTTCTACCATTCTGGGCATTTTTCTATTGACCTACCTTTCTCCTTGTATTAGCTTGCTAGGGTTTCCATAACAATATCCTGAAGACTAAATGGATTAAATAGTAGAAATTTATCTCCTCACAGTTCTGGGGCTGGGAGTCTAAGATCGAAATGCTAGCAGGGTTGATTTCCTACGAGACCTCTCTCCTTGGCTTAGAGATGACCACCCTCTTACATTTTTCTATGCATGTGCCCCTCTCGGGTCTCTTTGTATATCCATATTTTCCCTTCTTATAAAGACACTAGTCAAGTTGGGTAGGGTCCACTCTAACAGCCTCATTTTAACTTAGTCACATGTATAAAGGTCCTATCTCCAAATATAGCTACATTCTAAGTTACTGTGGGTTAGAGATTCAACATATGAATTGAGATGAGGCACAAATCAGCCCCTAACACTCCTAGTTATAGTTCATAATTTCTTGCTCTATACATTCCTTGTAATTTTTGATTGAATGCTGTACACTATGAAATTCAAATGTCAAATGCCAAATTTTGATTTATTCTTTTCTCTATTGCTGGATTTGTGTTTGGCAGAATGTTTTGTTACTTGGGTTAAGTTTTTCAAGGATTGCTTTTGAGCTTTGTTAGTATAGGTCAAGAGCAGCCTGCAATCGAAGGCTGATTTTACCAGTATCCACTCTACCTTTTTTTCTCCAGAGCTTCTTTCTGTAGATATCTCTTCCCTTCCATGTTCTTCTCTACATTCTAGCTAATTTGGCCTGCACAAATGTTGTTGTTTGTCCCCTGAACTCAGAGAGACCAGTAGCTTGCCTCCGGGCAATAAGCAGAGACAGTTATTGGATCCCATTGCTTTTTTCTCTTTCTCGGGGTTC